ATTCCATTCCTTTCCCCCCTTCCCCAACCAATTCATAACCATCAAACCAAACCAAACCAAACCACCTCCCTCATCAGATCCAAATCAAAATTCAAACCCAACTCAAATCCAACCCAACCCAACCCAAAACAAAACAAAACAACCGACGCGTCGCGTGTACTCTTTTTCACACTTTCACTTGCATCAGCTTTTCATTCTCTCCAATCTCTGGTATATATCAATGATGTGCGAGAATTTGGAGATAAACGTCTGTTTATTAACACTCGAGTAAAAGGAAATTGTACATATTTATTACTCATAGTAAAAAGGACAAGAAGAAAAAGATGTTCTCTCAAAACCCTTAATTCTCAAATCTTCGAGTAACAATCAACCCACCAATCCACCACATAGAATCAAGTTGTCAAGAATAAAATAGAACATAATGCAGACATGAACAAGGCAAGGATAACTTGGAAAATATTACAGCGACACAAAAATAAATGAACTGAAAAAATCTTTATATTCCGCTACCATCAGGTTGTCGTTGATCTTTTGTACAAGTACAACATAATCTGATATCCATCACTAATCGCTATCACAAAATCCCAAATATCTAGCAACCCTACCCTCCCAACGCCCATCCGTTCCATTCCGTCAGTCCAATACATAGTTTCCTAGTACCTGTAATTGTCAAAAATGTAATCTTGAACAATTACGCTTTTAACATATTCCCAGAACCATAGCAGAGCAGAGCACAAAAAATATGGAAGCCACAAATAACAAACAAACGCGGTCCAGTCACGCGTGATATCCGGTTCCTTCCCAAACGCCTTATGAACAGTTCATTAGAAAGAAAGATGCTTGCAAATGTTTCTCAAAAGAGATATATTTATGCAGTAGCAGCGGCCTTCTTAGGGGCAGCCTTCTTGGTAGCGGTCTTCTTAACAGCGGCCTTCTTTGGTGCGTCGGTCTTGGTCTTGGTGACGCGTCCAGAAGCGGTCTTCTTGAGGACGGTATCTTTCTCAACTACTGCTGGTGCCTATAGTCAATTATTAGTCATGTTTATATTTGAGTGTATAGAAACATAATTGACTCACGTCTTTAGGAGTGGTAGGCTTCTTTGCCTTGGTGACTGTGGCCTTCTTCTCCTTTGGCTTAGCAGCAGCCTTTGGCTTAGCGACGGCCTTCTTTGGTGCAACCTTCTTCTCCTTGGTGGCGGTAGCATCGACGGGCTTCTTCTCCTTGGTGGCAGTTGTCTTCTTGACGGCAGTCTTCTTAACAGCGGCCTTCTTCTCGGTGGCTTTCTTTGGGGCCTTCTCAGCTGGGGCCTTCTTGGCTTTTGGTGCGAGCTTTACTGTGCCGGAGGAACCTGTAAAAGAGGGATTAGATACTGAAAGGTTTGGTATGTGGCGATGCAAGGAGAAGCTTACCCTTTGGCATAATGAAGACCTCCTTAGCGACACCGTTCTTCAAGGCGCGGTTGAAAAGAGAATCGAACATGCTGTCACCGGCATTGATCTTGTTGTTGGCCTTGAGGTACTTCTTGAGTTGGATACGGCTGTGTTGATATTAGTATGAGATTCGAGTACGAGTGGCGGTTACAAGACGCGTCGAGTATTGATTATAGGGAATTGTGCGAAATATAAATAGGGAATCATACCTAGATCCATTGCGCTACAGAAGAAAGTTAGTACATGTATGAAACGTAGAAGTGGATGGAGGAATCCAAACATACCTCTTTCAAGTTGATGATAGCATCAATGATCATGTCTGTTATGACGCGTCAGTAATTGATACATGGGAAAATGAAGCTCCACGTTCGATGCATAAGAAGCATGCGATCATAACCATGTATACATAATGTGTATGCGACGTGGTGGTGTGGATTCGGAAGCTATTCCTTACCTTGGTAGCTGGCATGGTCGGATGGAGCAGCCTTTGCCTTTGGGGCAGCAGCGGCGGTAGTGGCGGCCTTTGGTGGCATTTTGATTGATATTTGGTAGAAGGGGTTTAAAAGTAATTAAATGGATTTCGAAGTTGAGATAATGAACAAGAAAGTCCAAAAGGTAATGATTTGAATTGATTGTACGTGGAAAGTTGTTGGTATGTTGAAAGGCAAAAGAGGTTCCGAAAGTTCGTGTTTGGGAAGCGGGGGGGGGTTTGTTTATGTAGATGCGAGAAATGGTCTTGGTGATCTTTCCACAGTTTTAACGGAATTGTCATTACTAGTCCGAATTAAGCAATTAATTATAAAAAATGCAAACGAAAGGCATTCTGAATTCCAATTTCACGGAAGCTGATTGGTTTAAAGGAGGGAAATGGATGCTTAGTTCAACCGTCTAATACCCCCTCAAAGCTTTCGCATTGATCATGCGACCCCAACTCGACTTACTCGGTTTTTTTCGCACTTTTCCACATCCCCCTCTCAACTTTTGGGAATCTGCCACACTTTCCTTTCTCTTTTATCTGGGGAGAGGGGATCTTTTGTATTTCCTCTTGATACTGGTGAATCTTTGTTTTTCATCAAAACTATTTTGCTCTTTCAATTCAGCGAATTGATGACAATAGTCCACAATGCTTTTGATAGATGATTGATATAAAATTCAAGTCGTCGAGTTTGATGAAGTTGACATATCTTACTGTTTTGCTATTAGACAGAAGGAACGCGTTCTATATTACAATATTTAATGTTATTAGTGATTTCATCAATTAAATAGTTACATCAATGATACTTTGGTTCCAAAATTGGAGTTGTGGTTGCGAGTGCATCAGATTGAATTTTGTGTCGAGATATTTGTTGTTTTTTGAAGCATCACGATCTTTTCTACGTATCTTCAACATACGCCCAACAATCAACGAAACTGCGTTCAATCGTTACAAATTTTATATGAGGGGATGCGTATTTGACATATTATCAAGTGTATATGAAAAGAATGTTATTCTGACTTGTTGCTGCTTCAATTATAAGTATCAACGAAAGTTGGCCAATTTTTGACTCGCGATGATTTCAGATTGCGACCGAGACCCCAACTACATTTTTGAATAACTCCCTCAAATTGGCATCAATGCCGATGAAAAGACACACAAATTATTGATCGTTTCTTTACATTGTGAGCCATATATAATTATCTGCATCTATTTACTGGGCTTGCTTTGCTAGGTTACGGAGTTTGGCAGGCATACGGAAGGCGACAGCCATAGCATAGGGCATGAGACGAAGAACACTCTCAACATCATTTCGAGATCTCAAGAATTTCCGAAGAGACTATCATTTTCACGGCATTCCTCTCCAGAGAATTTCCATAGCATTTAGACATAGCGAGTACTCCGGTGCAACTTTGTCCGGGTGTTCCGAAAGAGTGCGACCGAAAAATGACTCAACTTGGCAAAATCAAAATAGGATTGTGCCACAAAAGTTTAACAGAAGTCTAATATAACACAGCCTCAACTAATTTGAAATAAATTTCTATCTACAAAAATATTTATTATTTCTCTATCGATCTGAACAATTTCAACAGTTTTCATCGCAATGTGCGGTTGATTGAACTGGTGTGGTTTTCACCATGCCACATACCATTCAGCCAACTCATCGCCCAATTCCGACGCTACTCCGATCATACCACTCCCGATACCAATTCCTAACCCGAATCTCTCGACTTTGTTCAGTGGCATCTATACTCGCATATGCATTTTCGGAAACTATCGTGTCGATGCCACGTGTATTGTTTCAACTTTTGTCAGCCCCAGATATATTCTCTTACAGTACCTAACAACATATATCGGCAATTGGACGAGTGAGGCTGATCATGCTAACCTTTAATATTCCTACCAATGTCGGCGATAGATAATGATATGATTGACTTTATCTAAAGTGCTGTCTACTTTCACTGACATCGTCCTTTCGCACAATCTGGCCAAGATGCAGATCGATATGCAAATGGCTATGGCTGCTACCTAATTCCTTGGAGTTCGAGATTCGATCGTCTTTGACATCAAGAAAGGCAACCAATTCTATACTTCGATCTTTACTTCGGTTTGGGAGATAATCAACAAGTTTGCCACACGAGGATGGATGAGCTTCTGGAAGTTGAGATTGGCAATACCTATCTACTTTTTTGGGGAATGCATCTCAAACTAGCTTTCAAGGAACGTTACTGCGGGATGCACCTTTCATATTCACTCTATTTGACGCATTGCGCCTGCGTTCCTGTGGTTAACCAACTGTGAATGAGATGTCAATTCTCATATCATGCTCTTATTGGCAGACACAAACCAAAGCGGCAGGGGTCAAAGCGCCATAGCATGTGATTCGCTCCCTCCCTCTTGGCTTATGCCTCGTCATCAATGCAGGGGTCACTGGCAGCAATTAGAGCCTAACAACGTTATTGCAGCAATCCGAAACGATTCAATGCACGAGATTTCTGAGCATGATATACATCTTAGGGCAACGGATCATTACCATATGGAAACAAATAAGATGATCAATAAATACAACGGATAGATGCTTCTGTCTTGGCATTTACGCTTCGCCATCTATCAAGCAAGCACACATCAACCATTCCTTCTTCACTCGGTGTAATCATGGAGAGAAGGAACGATAGCATCGATATAGGACCGCCATTTCTTCAAAAACAAAAATAAACGTCAAAAGCAATGTCATCAATCCAGACCACCAACACAAGGAAAGACAGTGCCTTCCATCTCTCCAGAATGCGACTTTAACCCATCCATACTTCATATTTTGAGATTATCTTCGTGCTTCAAAGCTTCCACAGGCAAGATGAAATTCTTTTCGACAAAGAAATACCCGAGCATGAACATCGTTCTGCCCCAATGTGCCGTACGATTGAACTGTTGAAAGTTAATTTGAAAGTTAGTAAGTTGTACCTGATACTTAAACTTGAGGTCTGTTTACTGTTTCTCCTTCATTTCTCTTCGCTATATTTCTATACTCTACAATATCAATTAAGCAGCAGAGTCATCAGTCTGTAGCTATAACTTCTAGTAACAACGCTCTCGAGATGGATCCTTTTCCTGCTCCCCGAAACCCGGATTCTGTCCTAAGCGCCATTCCACACTTTCGTGAATTTGATCTCACGGGGAATAGAGAATGCCATTATGTGAGATTTGAACTTTTCTGCGATTTGTCCGATTATAGTGGTAACATCGGTATCATGAATGGCCACCTAGTCAATCGTGCACATGCAGAAGAAGCAGACTTTGGAAGAGCAATGGCACTTATAGATACTGAATGCAGCCTAGAATTGGCGAGCCAGATATTTGATGAATATGGTCAACTGCAACAAAAGTGGTTCCTAGGGTCTCGCAAGGGCTCGGGCATTTGGGATGCTCGTGTAAACATTGGCAATTTTCTTATGATTGATTTACTGAAAGTTGAAGAACAGTATCGTCGCAAAGGCTTTGCAAAGTTTTTGGTGTCTGGATTGCTATTCAAGATGAGAGCCTACAGACTCGACTACTCATACGTTTTCACATATGTAGGAGAACTGGAAGGGGCAGCGAGAACAGATGCGATTGCATTTTGGAGAGCAATGGGTTTCAAAAGAATTGGACTGTCACACGTATTCTGTTTTGCAATGTCAATGAACGACAGATCGAAGATACCCGACGCGGAAATAGAGGACGCAGAAAGAGATACATATGATTCCGAAGCTTCATATTCCACAGAAGACGAGTTTTCTTCGGCAGAGCACAGTCATGAAGATGAATCATCGCCCCGGTCGCTTGCATCTGGGGAATTGAACGAGCTGGACGAGCCCCAACTGCCACCCTCTAATCAAGATAATGCATCGGAACAGTCCAACAGTCCAAGTCCAGCCATCAACGAAGAAGCTCTAGCGGTGGAGTTGTTCAGCCCAAATGTTCAAAGTTCACACACTAGTGTCGAAGAGCCAAATATGAGCATGGAAAATTCAATGAGAAATCCTCGTCAGGGGGGTGATAATGAAGATAGTGAGGAAATGCCCCTCCTCTCGCCGTCAGAGGATTTGAGTTCTCGTTTCAAGTGTTGCTGTGGATTATCGGTATGGTTTAATGGAACATAGCGGGGTGGCAGGACTTGGGAACCAGGAGATAGCATTAATCATTGACCTGTAAGGTTAGGACAGCGATCAAATTATAAATTCTTTCTAAAAAAAATTTGAGGCATGGCTTGACTGGAATTTTTGATGGATAAATTGATAATCAAAGAATTTCGAATCAATTGGGGATCCGGGGCACGTTTGTCTTCGGGAAGCATATACCTCGAAATCGAGGTTGAAACACTATGTAATCACTGATAAGTTTGAGCATTGAATAAAATCTGTCGCCAAGTGAAGGCAACGAAGAACTGTAGGGATTGAATAGTTTCAATTGATGTTGGTAAATTGAAAGAGGAAAGCCAAGCTACGAAGAGAAGCTGACTTATACCCTCCTCGCCCTCCTCTGAAGCCGCATAATCACGTGACATGCACTTATGCATCCATAGTACGTGCACCCTGCTCCCCAGGAACTCAATTTTGGCCAGGGGATTATCAATCAACTTTTAGTATGATGCAATCTACATGTACAGATTTTTATGAGAAGCTCTGATACCTCACTCAGTCTGAATACAAGAGAGATTTATATAGGTCATATTTAAGAACCGAGCAAAGTGAGATTAGCTCAGGAAATGCTCGATAGACGACTCAATTTTCTGCTCTTGAGAAAGTTTTAAGATAAGCCCACCAGTGGGTGCATGAAGTGATGGGACACTGCAAGTATGAGCTTGGAAATATCTCCTAATATATTGATTTTAATATTTTAGGAATTGTTGTAATTATTTATTAGAGATTGAACAATGAGAAGATAGATTCTGGTATCAAACGATTGAGGAATGAATTAGTTGAAAATTTCGAAGTGTCCCGTCAGTTCATGTGCCCACTGATGGCTTGTACCAATAGGAGGAGAATAGACAAGTTGATACTGCTGCTCATATTGATAGTAGAAAAAGCAATGTTCGAATTATGCTTGAAAATACCTTTTTATAGCTGAGCCAGTCAGTAAAGATTATATGACTAAATATTTCATTTCCACTTGGAAATGAAGGGACTATTGTACGATTGTAAGTACCTTACAGAACGTTCATTTAAACTACGAATTGAGCGCACGAGGGGTTTAAGCAAGACTTCGATTCAAGCTTGTCCATGCTTCAACGAACCGGTAAACCTTAGCGCAACATTCGAATTCCCCACAGAGTATCTGCTTGACAATCGAGAAAGTTAGCTGGACTCTCGCGCGAAGTGTTCCTAATCTTACTATATGTATGAGGCATCTGTTCAGTACTCTAATTGAAATGATACCAAACTCACTATTTGCATGCATATGATCCCGCTTTGGATCCTGCTGCATCCATTCTCCAGTACAGATCTTCTTAGCTTGATCCCTTCGATCTCACATCTGACAACAGTGCATCATGACTTCTACAATCCTCGTTATTGTGCTGGCAAGAGTGTCGTCCGTCATCTCCCTAAGCTGCTCAAACACAGCAACACCAGCTACCGCATTCTTGGCTTGACGCGTTCTCTTGACAGCCCTGCCTCCAAGATACTTGCTAAGCTGTCTCATGTGGAGATGCAGGAGAAGGATTGGACCACTATTGACGCTGCATGGCTTCGAAGCCAAGATGTCCCGGGTCTATATTGCCCTGCACAACTTGCCGCAGCAATTTGCGGAAGAGTCTGCTCTTTATGTCGCCTTGCTGCAAGCCGGTGTCGAGTACGTCGTTAGAGTATCAACCAATGTGGAGTACATTAGCCCAATTAGCCCTGTGTACTACGGTTGCTCTCACTGGGCCATCGAGAACTTGTTGGGCCAGCCAGAATTCAAAAGTATGCAGTGAACATCGCTGCAGCCGAACTTCTTTAGTACAACCTATCTCGCGTCTACTGCAGACTGGATCAAATCGTATCGTAAAACTGGCAAGCAGGAGACATTGAATATAGTCCCTGATGCTGATATGGCTGTGGCAATGATTGATCCTGACGACTTCGGTACTATTGGGGCACATCTACTGGCTCTTGAGGACCCGAATCCTCATAATCATGCCAAGTATATTCTTAGTGGTCCCGAGGATGTAACTGAGAGAGACATTTTCAGAATAGTCGAGCAGTATCTAGGAACCAAAGTCGAGAAGACAGAGTTCAAAGTAACTAGCTGGCTTGATGACTTGATTAAGGAGGGTGTGTATCCGGAAAAGGTTTTGCCATCGATAATGGCTGGATTTGAGCCATTGTGGCATGGCAATTGCTCGCTCGCTGGCACACCGACTAGTAAGGAAATCATAGATCTCGCACCCCCGAAGGGTACAGCTATGAATGTATTGAAAGTTCTATTAGAAGATTAAAATGCGTTTGCAGCGATCTACGTTTCAGGGGTTCATAGCGTAGTTATGTATATTAGGCATACACATCCTACATAATTGGCGTCCCTCCGCCTCGTTCTACCCTCTTTTTGAAGAATCTCATACATCTTACCCAATGCCTATCCCTTGCACCGTGATACTACGAATTGTGACGCCGCGGATCACTTATTGACCTGAGTCAGTAGCCACGCTGTATGGAGACGGGGAGACCAGTAAAAAATTAGAAGATGATAATTGATACTATCACTACTTCTCCCAAATCAATATGACAGAATACATCTCTATATCGAAACAGTAGAAAGTAATAGAAACAGAACTAAATCCCAACAGATAAGTTTAAATTCCATTGACCGAATGTAAATACCAAAAGTCATCAAATACAACCCATACTTACATGGAACAATTGCGGTGAAACTCGAAAGCGGTGGATAATTCTCCCCGCGATAGGCGACGGGAGAACGCGTGAACATAAGGAATGTTCTTTCAGTTGCTTCTTTTAGTTAACGACTTCATTTTTCTCTCCAGACCATGTCTACCTAGTCATCATTATGCGGAATCACAGTGTATAGATGCCAGGTTTGTCCGATGATACCTCCATAGAGCAGCTTAGAGAATGAGCGTATGTCTATCATGAAGATTCACTGAATCAAGAGATATGGAGTAGTCTAGATCTCACCTTGTGCCTTTTCTGTCGCGTGTACTTTGATTTGATAAGATATGCAATTTTTTGAAAGGATATTGTCTCGAGCTACTATGCCCAGTCATGCAGGTTCGAAAATGTTGATGTTGATTGTTCGATGTAGGGGCTGGTTCAAATGGCATTGTTGAGGAATGCCCTTCAAAATGATTGACTCAAGGGAGAGATAAAGATACTAAATTATCTCAAATTACTCGAAAAACCATAAAGCAACCGGCAATCACCACTCTGCTAGTATTTGTTAGAAGGAAATAGGGAGACATCTTTGCTGGTCTCGTAATGATAAAGCGCCCACGAACCCCCTGAAATCGCCACCAAAACATAATATACTTGCTTGAACGTGGACTGTGAATTGTGGACACGACATACATCGACCTAAACTTTTCTGAGAGACGGTGATACATCTTCATGACGTACAAGCGGTTTCAGATGGTATCGACCTTTTGAGAAGCATTAGTCGTAGGGGGTTGAGAATAAGCTCTAAGCTTGTGGTATGAAATGATATGCAAATTTGAGTAATGTGATACACAGTTTGCGGATTGTAAGCAAACTTTACAAGAGATGGAAAATTGGTAAGCAGAGGGTACATTGCGGAACTTAAAATTACTCTGTATAGTTTTGGAATAGACATCAAAGAAAATAGAGTTATGTCAACCTCGAACTCAAGCATTCAAGTCATCTCGAACACCTATCCAAGTATTAGCAAGTCACCAAAATTATATCATACATTCATGCATCCGAGTCTACATTTTCAACCCATGAATGATGTGCAATACACATCATGTTATCCATTTCACTCCCAATTTCATATCGTCGTCGCATGCGACTGCATCTTGAATCTCGCATGCCTCTCTTTATCATACTGTTCTTTGAACTTCCCTATTGCTTCATGGTATTTTTCACTTAATTCCATGCTCTCGGTGCTAACTGGCTTTAATATCGTATACCTACTCTCTACAGGATTCTCTCCCTAGATTATGGGTGAATGAATATATGATCTTCTTTTCTCAGTGCTCCTCCATTAACCTTTCAGCGTTTCATGGGTCTCAAATGTTCTCCCATCACTCGAGGTAGAAGAACTATGAGATGTATGAACTATAGTACAAACTCGTTGAACAGCAGTATTGTTTACTAACAACAAGGGGATATAAACAAGTACTAAATCGACTGAGATGAAGTCATAACACTCGCTCTGTTTAATTGTTTGGATCGTTTAATCTAGAGAAAGACTTCTTTCTACCATGTTACTTAACACACTGCTTTCGCCAAGATCAAGCTAATCCATCGCACCTTTTTTTTGGGGGGGGGGGGTTTCCTGGATGAAAATTGGAAGGTTCTCATTTTAAATTTCACAAGTTCTAATAAATTACTACATCACATCAGCGTAACTAATTGGTTTTTTATGTTTTGTTATTATTCGTTTTGTTCACGATTCCAGTAGAATCTATAAAATATTTTTTTTGGGTGGGCGCCAGCGCTCTTGAGGTTATAGTAAAGAAATGAGAAATAATCACTAACTCACCTTTCAGCCTTGAAACTTCTTCATCAAGTTTTGTACCTTGGTACTGATTTTTCTGCCGATCTTTTTGGGAGCAGGAGCAGGAACAGGAGTAGGAGCGGGAGCGGTAGCTGGAGGATCTTCGCCCGCTAATTCAAAAACCAACATTGGACACCCGAACTGGGGCATGGATAACCAAGCATGAATTTTTACAACTCGTTTCGCACCTAAGCTCTTTACATGATCAGTAAGCATTCTAGCGACTGGTCTTGCGTTGGTAGTTCCCATCAACATCGCAAACTCAGCACTCGCTGTGGAGATGTCGTTGCATGAGAAAGTAACCCCATTGAATTCGTTCTCCTCGATTGAAAGTCCTTTGATTTCGAGTGCATCACAAATCGTTGTATAGGTTCCGTTATTGGAGATCGGGGCAATGATGACATACTTGAGTTTTTGCATCTGTAAAGGGTGCAGAATTTCTACATCCCCCCCAGTCGGGGCAACATACGTATAGCATGTATCGCGCCACGTTTGAAATAAGAGCTCGCTATTCCAGAGACGGGGCGTATACACATCTGGAATGTCAAAATCTGCATCTGCCCACTGGTTCGTAGTGAAAATAGTCCCAAATTTCGGAGATGCATAGATTTCAGCTACATTGTTAGTACGAAGATCTTGATACTTTTCCCTATTCGCCGGATTCCCAACTTCTTTGGAAGAGAGACTGTATCTAGACCAGTAATCACCTTCATGCTCAATTCCAAGCTCCGTGAAAGCCGTTGTCATGCCATATCTAGAAAAAAACTCAGAGATTCCCAGATCGTGACCTCCGTCGACGTTCACATACCGGATGTTCCAGTCGGGATATGCAACATCTTGGTGAGGAGTATTATTGATAGCGACTCTGTTAGCTTCAAGAACGGCGTGACCGCGTTCGAGATATTCTATGGGTGTGAAAAGTTCTGTCTCTCCAGTAGTGTAATTGTCGGGATCTTCATATGGATCGTATCTCCGTCTAAGTCGTTCGGGATCATTCAAAACTTTTGCGAGATTCGCGTCGTAATCGAAGGCTGTGGACATATTTGCAGAAAGTTATGCTTGCCTTTGATTGAGTCTTGTAATTTTCTTGACAAAGAAGTATTTTAGATTTCTCTTTGTGGAATGTAAGGAACTCGTGAGTAGATGAAGAATATGATACTAATTGACAAAGGAATTTCAGGTGGCTTTATATAGCCAAGATTGTACCGTTGTTCAATCCATATTTGGGGATCGTTTTGTAGTTGTAACAAAGGCATTGCACCTGCATTATGGGAGACGACAAAGAAGGTTTGTATTCTTGAAGATGTGTGCATAGCATAGTGTAGAAAATGAGAGTAGAAGTGGTTGGGAACAGTCAGAAATCTCGTAAAATCCAACCGTCTGGGGAAGCAGAATCAATGGAAACTTCCAACCATCTGACAATAATTGAACATCTGAGGTTATGAGAAATTCCACCCCATGTGAGGTTTCCAATTGGAGTTGATACGGTGGATGCAAGTAGCTTGTTTCGAAGTCTCGTTCGAATGTTATATGATTGAGGGAGTGATGGAGCGCACCATTTTTGGCGAGGAAGAGCTTCATGTCGAGATGATTGAACAAGAAGGAGTATTTGTCGATCAATAGAAAGTAAAATTGGGTACTGGCAGCATCCGCCACTATTCACATCCACCATTCAACTATCATGCCATGCTTTTTGTAGAGTTTGGTGCCTGGCTAGAAGGGCATCTGACATCTCCTATTTTTGAGCTTACCCTGTGAGATTGTGTAGAAGTTTCTAGGCAAATCGAGATCAGAGACATTTTCGTCAATTCAAGCCTTTCGTCAGATTCTTGTGTTTCCGTTTGACACGTGTGGCCGAGGAAACTCAAGAATTTTCTTTTCCAGTGGGAGGCGTCGATAAGATACCGGAAAGTCGATAAGTTAGATAAGATTGTACACTTTACCTGGTATATTGAATTATTTCGTGCCTGTGAAACTCATTAGTCTGTTGGTGGCTGTCGGGCCAGAACTCCAAGGTTGGGTTAGCGTACTCAAGGCGTTTTTAGTTCTGATCTCCGCTGAATCTTCGAGCACGTTGTTATTTCCCCAACTTTCATTGGATATCCACAACTTCAGCCAAGAACATGTCAATTATTGCCAACAACTTCTGTTGAATCTTCGCATTACAAGCAAAAAAGCTTCACTGGAACAAGATCTTTAGCCACTCAATATTGGCTAAATGAAAGGCACGTACCTGTTATCTTTGAGCCATGTCGCGTGCAATATTGCAGTAAGGGGATGTTGATGTACAGGAAAGGTTTGTTTCGTGCCACGAGGATAGCAATACTCCCCGCTGGTGCCCTATTATACGAAGCTATAGACTGCAGCTTGCAGACTGCAGACCCCAGGAAAGCAATATGTTATGGAGGGTTTCTAATTCTGGTTGATTCATCGCTCCACGTGTTTGCACTTTCCAAATTTGGAGCCCTTGGGATGTGAATTTGAAATGATTTTGGAGAGCATATCATCTTAAAGCAGGCAGGCATCAAAGTCTGAACTTTTGGAAACGATACTCGACCAATGAATTCAGCACATTCAGAAGCTGCGTGGTACATCTGGGGAAGTTGATTGGTTTCAACGAATGAACGGGCTTGGCGTCAACATAAGGTTGCAAATGGATCCTGCACTAAATTCGGACATCACCTAAAGGGTCCCGGGTCTCTTTGACTTCCCCGTCTGCCCGTCTAGAATCGCCAAAAGGTCATCGACCATTTACAGCCTTCAGAGGCTGAACTCTATTGCTTGAATAGATCGTCAACGGCGCCAAAAATCTCAAAAGTCAGACATCTACATGCTACATAATGGCAAAATCTGAAGCCACAAAGTTGGTTCTGCGCTTCGCTCGGGGTCGCCAGCCCAATAACCCCAATTGAGTAGCCTGGATATTTATTCACTGCTGAAAATACAATCTTGGCGACCCGGGAACTGGGACTTTTACTAGAATCAGTCAATGTCATTTTGGGATGCCCAGACTTTGGACTCGGAGCTCCTTGCCTAATAGAATCCACCATGGATTTCATGTTAAAATTCAATTTTCGGAAGTAAGCAACAATTGGAATCCCACCTTGCAAGAAGGAATATAAGGATACCTCGTTTCCTTTTTGCCAAAGTCTTTCTTTCCTCAGTCAAGCACTCGCACCAAACCCTCACCTCAAACTTCGTTGCAAAGGTACTATTCCTTCAATTCGTCGCAATGGTTGCCCCTGCCCCTGCCATACATACCACCGTAGGCGGAAATTCTGCCTTCCACAACTTCAACAATGACTTCGCCCATATTACAGACGCCAATGAGCGAAGACGTCTTGCTCTTGCCGAGATCGATAGAGCTCCATTCGGATGGTATCACGTCCGTGCCTGTGTTGTCGCAGGCATTGGTTTCTTTACCGATTCCTACGATGTAAGTACATGTAATCACTACACTGGAGAAAGACATCGCTGATGATTGTCACAGATCTTTGCCATCAATTTGGTCACCTCTATGTTGGGTATAGCATTTTTCCAGAACAGTGTCTCAAAGGGTTCGATTCCAACAACCAGTGATACTGCTATCAAGGTTGCCACTTCCGGTGGAACTGTTATTGGTCAACTTGGTTTCGGATGGCTTGCAGATGTTGTCGGTCGTAAGAAGATGTATGGTCTTGAGTTGATGATTATCATCTTTGCTACTCTCGCTCAAGCTCTTTCTTCTCCGTCCCACGCTGTATCTATTGTCGGTCTATTCATCTTCTGGCGTGTATTGATGGTAAGCTAGCACCTGTTTTAATTTTCTTTGCTTTCACATACTTACATATTCTAGGGTATCGGTATTGGTGGAGACTATCCTTTGTCAAGTGTTATCACTTCCGAATTCGCAACCACTAAATGGAGAGGAGCTATGATGAACGCGGTATTCGCCATGCAAGGTATTGGACAATTTACTGCTGCCATCATTGCTTTGATTGTCACCGTAGGTTTCAAAGAGTCCCTTTTGACTGGATCAAAGGCCTCAACTTGCACTGGCGTTTGTCAACTTGCCGTTGACAAGATGTGGCGTGTTATCATGTAAGTTTATCTGCTCTTTTTGGTATAATACAATGCTAATGGATACTAGCGGTTTCGGTGCCGTCCCAGGTTGCATTGCTCTCTACTATCGTTTGACCATTCCCGAAACACCTCGATACACCTTTGATGTTGCCCGTGATGTTGAACAAGCTACCGAGGATGTACAAGCCTACAAGCATGGAAAGAGCCATGGTGAACCAGATGAGATCACTCGCGCTACCACCAACAATCAAGCTGCTCAAGAACTCGAGATCCCCAAGGCCAGCTGGTCAGACTTTATCGCCCATTACAAACAATGGAGATTCGGCAAGGTCCTCCTCGGTACAGCAGGTTCATGGTTTTTTCTTGATGTCGCCTACTATGGTCTCGGTCTCAACAACTCCGTCATTCTCTCCGCTATTGGCTGGTCTGGTGGTCATAACATGTATGAAGTTTTCTACAAAACTGCCGTTGGTAACCTTATTCTCGTCTGTGCCGGTGCTATTCCTGGATACTGGGTCTCTGTCGCTACAATCGATACTCTCGGCCGCAAGCCGATCCAATTTATGGGCTTCACCATTCTTACCATTCTCTTCATCATCATCGGGTTCGCTTATAACAAACTTTCCGGTCATGCCCTTCTAGCCCTTTACGTCATCGCCCAATTCTTCTTCAACTTCGGTCCTAACTCTACCACTTTCATCGTACCAGGTGAATGTTTCCCTACACGCTACAGATCTACATCTCACGGTATCTCTGCTGCTTCCGGAAAGATAGGAGCTATTATTGCACAAGTTGTTTTCGGACCACTCCGAACAAAAGGTGCTGCTCCAGGCGCTACTGGCGCTGCAGCCAGCCCATGGTTAAATCATGTTATGCAAATTTTTGCATTGTTCATGTTATTGGGATTGTTTACCACTTTCCTCATTCCCGAGACCAAGAGAAAGACTCTCGAAGAGTTGGCTGGTGAAGTTCCAGGAACTCCTAATTATGACCCTGCTTTGGCTAGATACACTGCTGGAGCCCAAAAGAGTGGTCACTCGAGTCATGAGGGCATTGCGCATGAGACTCAACCTGAAAAGATTGTTTAAGTTTGTTTGGATATGGACTAGGGATATAATGCGATGTGATACCTGGTGTTTTTGATTGGTTGTTTAGTTTCAGGGGTTTACATAGATAATATAAAAAGCATGATGGGTTGTTCTTCTAGTATTGTCTTCATATGCACAAAATTGTCAGAAATAGTGAGTGAGCTTTGATGCAAAATTCTAACTTGATATGGTATGCTAATTAGGTAGTTTGTGTAGCCTTCCCGCATGGCTTCACTAATAATATCAACTGGTGCCTTTCATACTCTGCAACTCTTGATAAAACGTACCAGGTGAACCCAAACTTTACTTTGGCTTCTTGCTGGCATGCAAAAATCGTCGGCATGTCATTCACGCCCTTAAGCTTCTTTTAAAATCACGTGCTCTGCAGCACCGACTACCCCGCCTTGATTCTGATCAACTTCAAAGGCTATCTATCGTCCATCTTGACGTTATACTGACATTCATAAATTTCATTGGAATAGATTAGAAATCAGAACGCGTAAAGCGTACAATATTAGCTTTATCCAAATCCGGACTCGGAGTCGAGCATCTTACAAGCGGAGATATATGAGTCAGAATTGATATCTCAGGTGGGAACAGTCATAACGTGCTTCTACATCCAGCTCACTATAAGTACCTGGAATCTTGCGATTCAAGGTCTGGTCATACAATCACTTTATTGCTTTCTGTTGAAACTCCTCATCTTGCTGAAATTTTTTCTGACTTTTACAAAGTCTCGGATCGGAGCATACCCACGTTGCATTTGATTCAGCCCAATCTTTATAGTCTCTATCCCGAAGCAAAAACCTCATCACTTCGAGATGCATATTCCATTCACCAACCTCGATGTCTTCACTCAAACCCGTTATCTGGGTAACGCTCTTGCCGTCATCCGTCCCCAGTCACCCAGCACCCTTTCACAAACCCAAAAATTGCAAATCGCCAAAGAATTCAATCTTTCCGAAGTCGTTTTTCTCCATCTCCCCGAATCGAAAGATTCAAATCCAAAGGAACTCGTAGTCGATATTTTCACGACTTCTGCCGAGATTCCTTTTGCTGGTCATCCTACTATTGGAACCACATTCTTCGTACTCAATTATTTGGGACTGAAGAGTGTAGAGGCTTTAATCACCAAGGCTGGGAGAATCCCAATCACGCTTGATGGGGATGGAAAAGTGGCCAGGGCGGAAATACCGCATAATGTGCATCTACATGAGAAAACATATCCGTTTAGAGACTTTGATACAGGAGAAGAAACGCAATCTCCTATTGTCTCGATCGTCAACGGAATGACGTTCGTGCTCGTGAATCTTCCTTCCCTGGAACATCTAGCACGAGCGGTGGAAACCAAAAATCTAAACCCCAGTTCGTATAATACGGAAAACTTAGATGATGGGTGGAGAAATGGTTTGTGTTCGACTATGTATTACGTGCATGTTGGGGATGAGCAGGGGAGGAAAAGATATCGAACGAGAATGTTTGAATCGGAAGAAGATTCGGGGACGGGAAGTGCTAGTTGTGCGTTGGCTTGTTATTTGACGAGGAACGAGGAGGTGAAGGGAGCGAAGGAAATGAAATTTAAGTTTGAGCAGGGAGTGGAGATGGGGAGGAGGAATGAAATTTTTGTAGATGTGAAGACGAAGGAGGATGGGCAGGAGATCGAAAAGGTGGTATTGAGTGGAGAGGCGGTTAAGGTTATGGAGGGGACCTTGGAGGTTTAAGGGGAGGATTGCATGTTTTTACCTAGGTCTGAGGATATGGGGGATAGATATTGATATTCAACTTGCTCATCGCCTCATCCTCGCAAACCACCCCACTTTGACGATTTGATTGGCCTGATTTTGTTTTTGAGAGTTTTGTTGCACATCTTATTCCGAAAGTGAGATTATCTCAAACACTCAAGCGATTAACAATATGTACTAGTTACTTTATTAGCTTTGCTATCAGTGGTTGTCATTGGCTACTTCTGAAGAGTGAATAAAATATACTTTTCAAACACTTCCCGCTCCACTTTTCCAGGCGAGCAAGAACATTGGATTAACTCTCTCATGAAGTATAAATGCCTCTCAACACTCTATTAAATCATTGAATCCCAAAAGTGATGCGATATTCTGTCCATGCATTTGATCGAGGCTTTTGCCAACACCGATTCAATCACAGCTACACAGAACTTCACGTGAGCATGAATTTTGATTCGCTCGCATACAAATACGAGTTATCTTCCATTGTCAAATATCTCACTTATTAGAGTTATCGATCCTTCTTCATAGTCTATCAATATCACTAATCACTAATCACCGCATGATTAAACATAAGAATAAGATTTTCGACAACGAAACCAGGAAGTATGATTCAATAACATACCTAGGAACCTATACAAGCATGATACTACCAGGCATATCCACAATTTACTCGCCCAGAAGAAGAAAGTAACCTACCTACCTATAGGTATCCCCCAAACACCGACAACCTTGCATTCGCTCCATACTGGATCACGCGGCGTATTGGTTCTTGAATATACCATACGCATGGGGGATTTTATACTCCTGAAATTGCAGAAAGTCTCAAGAGGGGTAAGATAAGATTACTAGGTATTCACTGTAGTTCCAATCCATATCAAGAGTGCATGTAGAAACTCTGCATAAGGTTGATCACGATACCCCCATTGAATCAATCGAATAAGGTACCTTAGGTACCTATCTATATAAATACCGCCCTCATCCCCCTCTCCATCCTCTCCACAAACAACCAGAGATCAATAGCGATGATCAACCATGGCGAGTGCGTGCCTGTCCAAAATTTGAAGAGGAAAAACGCGGTCACCTAGCTGGATAATTCGGTCTACAGTTTTACGGTATGAATCGTCAGTTCTAACTTCTGAGTAACAAAACGAAGAGATTGTGAATTTTTTGATAACGGAAATGTATTTTGATTGTCGATTGTCGACCATCTGTCGTATTGTCATCTGTCAAATTTCATTACCAAGATGAGGAATTATATTCCGGAGATCTATATCCCAGTTTTTATTACACCTGTAATCTCATCAACCACGAATGGTATCTCCGGGTTGTGGTGCTTTTTTCGCTGTACCTTTCTACCTTTCTACCTTTCTACCCCATGTATTTGAATTTTATCGGTCGTCGAGTGTTCATGATGGTAATTTGCTTGTTGAAGCTCACTATTATATGGATAGCTCTTTGTTTCTTGTCTGAGGCTAGGAGAAATTTTCGGGCGTGGAATTGAGAGATTATAATTTTCCAGATGCATTTAGATACGGAGATCGAGACGGACAATAGATATTTTTTTTATTGTCGTAGCCTGGATTGCCGATAGTGGACTTGTTTCATCGTCGAATAACATTTTCGTGCTAGCAACATCTGATATCTATCACTTGATCATTTTGCTATTCACGATAGTTTGTTTTTGTAGTAAAAACTCAACTTGCATGAACATTGAGTACAGGTAACTGCCATTCAAAACTTTAAATAACCAAAACCGCAATTTATACCATTTTACTTCCCCTCCTCTTGATTTTACCCCTCTCCCGGTCGTTAGCATCGCCCAACTCTTCATTTCCTACATCACCTTCAGCTACTCCACCTCCCTCGACCTTCTCCTCAGTCTTCCTCTTATTCCCAGCTGAACTCTTCCTCCTTCCTAAAAGTACTTTTAGAGGCTGCACCTTATACACCGGCTGCTTATTCCTCGTCTCTCTCGTACTCCTCCTCGTTGGGGTTGCCCCCTCACTTCCAGCTTCCGACAACTCCTCAGCTTGAACTTTCTTTTTCTTAGCCTTACCCTTCTTCTCCTTTGGATCAATATACTCATGATCGTCCTTCATCAAAATATCCGGACTCTCCAAAGGACTTTCGAGCGGTGTGATCGGAGGACTTTCAAGCTCTTCATCATCTGGCACTTTGGTTTTAGGTTTCAGTGCTCCGGGCGCAGCTTTTCTGCCTTTCCCTGTTAGGTTCCCCTCCCCCACCACCGCATCCAACAGCCCCTCCCTCTCCAACCTCCGGATCTCGCCTTCAACTCGCCTCTGCAACCTCTCTTCCGCAATCCTCAATTTCTCCTCGATCCTCTCCTTTTCCGTAACCTCCTCCTTCGCATTATTCTCAAGAGTATTAATTTTCCTCTCAAATTCCTCCTTCATATCCTTGTGTGCACGATCTGCAAATCCGAGCTTAAGTTTAAGTTCTTCTACTTCTTCAAGCGTGTTATAGAGATCCGTCTTTGCAATTTTGAGCTCCTCGGATGCAGATTCTTCTTCCTCTGAGAGAGTATGACTTGAGGTTGAGAGAGTGCGATGTGAGGATGTGCTTTCAGGGCCTTCGGGGGGCGCAGTAACAGCTATACCTGGACCTGAGCCGCTACCGACCGCGTCCCTCTCAGTGAGTTGGCTTCGCAACCTTGCGACTTCATTTTCTAATTGGGCGATGACACCATGCGCTCCATTTAATCTTCCCTGTAATGTCTCTGCTTCCTCGACCAAACCAGCTGCATGCTTATCCGCGCCCGCGACTTCCTTATCAAACTTCTGCTTCCAGACATCCTCGTGCTCATCCGAAAGTGCCTTTCCTCTCTCGTACAGCTGTACAAAATGATTCCCCCTTTCGTATGCCATTTCGAGATCCCTTTGCAATTTTTTAATTTCATCATTTTCCTCCCAAGCTTTCTTCCCTTTTTCGTATAAGCCTTTGAAAAGATTTTTCTGCTCATATGAGTTCTTGAGACTCCTGTTCAATTGTTCTATCTCATCTTCAAATTGACCCGTTATTCCGTCTATCTCCTGCTCCTTATCCGCGATTTTCTTGTTGGCTGCTTCAAGTTCCTGTTCGAGTGCCAGCTTAGTGGCATTCAGAAATTGAGTATGACCAACTGCTTCATCTCTATCCGCCTCGCCTCTTTCGAGCTCTTCGATTCGGGCTCTAGCTTCTTTGATCTCGGCGTTGAGCTGATATTCTTTAAGAGTACGTGGATGCTCCGAGTGGGAAGGTAATTGGGTAGCAAATGCAATGAGTTGACGAATCCATTCTGCGCCTGCTAATTGTTGTCCTTCTCCAGCCAACCGATACAATACAGATATCTCAGGAGGTACATTTAAAACAAAATCATTTACTTCATTTGCCCATTCTCTCCAAGTGCTTTCTTCAACTAATGAAGCGACTGGTCGATGACAAACCAAGTCAATCAATTCTTTGACCCAAGTTACACCTGGGAATTGTTGACTTGAACTCTCTGCCCCCGGGTTTACATCTGGTAGTGCACCCCCGGGTCGATACAAATTTGCTGCAGCTAGACGAAAGAGACCTTCTACTGCTTGGGGCTTGGCTTGAATGTGATTCCATAGCCTCTCCGACCATTGTCTCCAGACAGCATCTCCGAGGATCTCCGATCCTGATGAGCGTACCGATTCATTGTCGCCTACATCAGACATTTCTACATCAGACGATTTCTGAGCCTCTGAAGCAGCCAACATATCCTCCAGGGTCCGTATTGTTAGCGATAATTCCGCAGCGCGACCCTCCAACATCCTTCGGTCTTCTTCCCACGCAATCTTCTCTTCTTGTAGTCGTAAAACTTCTCGCTTTGACGCCTCAACGCGGTAAGAATCCTCTATTTCCTTTACTCCCCGTAGTCGCTCAATCTCCTTGTTGGCTTCCTGCAAAGCAACCGAACTATCTTGTAGATTTGTCAACTCTTCATTTTGCTTCCTTAGTTTTTCAACATCGTCCATTGAAGCATTCCAATTAAGTTTTAGCTCTTCCGCCCATGCTCCCAGCCTACGTGCCTCGTGATCAAATTCATCCCTCTCTTTCTTTGCATGCGCTAATTGTCTGATAAGTTCCACAACATCGGGAGGTTGAGGATCATTCGCCAATTCGAGCGCAACATGCGCACTTTCCAGTCGGTCTCTGTATCCATTTTGTCCAAATGTTTTTTGATACAGCTCATCGTACTGATGCTGTAGCTCAGTCTTTTCTCGCTGCGCTCTCTGGATTTCATAAGACTGCGTAGCTTCGACTTCAACGATGGCGCCTTCGAGAGATATCACCCGCTCAAGATATTTATTTTTTTGCGTAACAAATACCTCAGCCAAATTTGTGCCATTCACATCGAAGCGAGGCAGCACTTGTTCCTCAAGCTCACTAACATATTGTCTTAGGTCATCCCTCTCTTGAACAACTATCTTATAGGATTCTCGGACTTGTTCATCATCATGATCTGATTGTTCGGAATGTCTTCTTTCAAATCTTGTGGCGTTTTCTGGCTCCATGATTCCCGCATCGCAATTGTATAAATGTTGAAAAGAAATCAAATACCTCGAAGCTGTAGATTTTACTATTGGAGAACAAAGAGGTGTTTGGGTTTGAAAATAGACACTAGCCGCCAATTGTTGCCGTCCTACTGCACCCGAACAAAGAGGAAAGGAAACACAAAGTTACCACTTTTGCACGTTTTTGGCATAGGGTCATTGTACTGATGCATAGTGGCATCCAAATGAGAGAAATAGTCACCTAGCCACAGCAGTTCTGGGAGAAGAATGTCCATCGTGGATGTATCAGCACGATAGAACTATGGACTAGTTCAATATTCTTATTCATATGGGTGATACCTTTTTCTTGTGCTGGGACAATTTTCTGCTGGTCATCATCTATACCTTAAACCTATACCTTTTCAATCTTTTATGAGATATAAATTTTTGAAAAGAAATCCC